CGTTGCATTATTAAATTGTTATTACTGTTTGTTTCTCAATCTTAAATATTTTATTCTGTATTACTTTGTTGGAAAAACTTAACCATCTCACATGAAATGAATGAATAATGTTCGAAGATATATAAATAAATAAACAAAGGAAATTTTACGTCGAAAATAGTATTTTGAGTATATTTCCCGTGTAATTACAGCTTATAATATAACGGGAAAAAGTCGAAAAAAAATGAGAAATTGTATTTTTTCACAACTTTGTTTTCGAACAGCCCAACTTGTCTGGCATTTTTAATTTGAGTTTGTAAGTGTATTTTTTATTAAAAAACGAATTGCCAGACAAAAAAAAAGACACTGAAGTTTTCATTAATTTTTTTACAACTATTTAATTTAATTTATTTTTTTTAATTTTCGAACAACCCAACTTGTCTGGCATTTTAACCTGAAGTATAAATATGTATTTTCAATAGTAATGCAAAATGCGAGACAAAAATAAATCGTTTAAATTATAAAAAAAAAGAAATACAAGTTTTCATTAATTTTTTTGTAACTTTTCAATTCATTTATATATTTTCGAATATCTCAACTTGTCTGGCATTTGTATATTGTGTTTATACGCGTATTTCTAATTGAAAGTCAAAATGCAAGACAAAAATAAATCATTTAAACTTTAATATATTTTTTACGAATTTTCTTTTGTCTGGCACAATTTTTCCATTTTCCAATTTGTCTGACAAATTTTTTGTAATAAGAAATATGGGTATTAATTTTAAGTACCCGAGATACCAGATCACCAGATATCAGATTCAGTGATCACTGAAATATATTAAAAATTTTCTAATAATTTTCCACAGAGAAACTCGACTCCGAACATTGGAAACCGCCTGGCAATTCATTTTTATCATTTTCATAACAAAAATTTTCATTGTTTCGATTGCCAGACAAAAAATGATTTTTTTGTCTTAAAAGTTCACCCCTATAAACCACCCTTTCGGCTATTTAAAACCCTCTGGCATTTGAGTCTATTTTCATCAACTGCCAGACACTTTAAGATGAGTGAAAAACTAATTATTTTATGCAAAAGGAAATTAATTTTCCAAATTTTCGAATACGGGTCGACCCCTAAAACCACTTTTATTTTCATTAACTAACTTACCTTTTTCAGACCTCAAAATGCCGGACATTTTTCAATGACGCCACACCCATGTGCGCTAGCTCACGGTCTATAACTTCTAAACAAAAACGAATATCGAAAATTTCATATAAGAAAACATGTTTGAAATAACACATACAGCTGCCATCTGTCAAAGTTTGTCATAGGTTTGTAGAACACCCTGTATTTGTTAGGAGACAACAGAATACAATTTAACTTACTGTTTTTAAATATGCACAAATCGTATTTAAAAATTAATAATTACTTAGTAAATATTTGATTATTTAGCTTTTTACTGTGTTGCCTTTGTCTATCCGATGACCAATGCTAGGTAAAATCTTATGATCTGTTTCCAGTTTGTTAAAAAGATATATTGGAATAAAAATGAGGATGTTCTCTGCTCTTTGTAATCATATTTTTACACATACATTTTTGTTGTTGGTCAGGTTTTCTCTAAAAACGTTAATTATGAGCTTTCCTATGAGTTGTGGTTGGGGTTTAAAATATCTCCACTCATGACGGAAAACAAAGCTCAGTTCAAAACAACGTCATAATGCACTCCTAATGAGATACCGTCCGCTTTGCAAGTTTATGGCATATAATTGGATAATAAAACATACTATAAATAAGGCAGCATCTCCTCGAATCCCGGGAGAGGATCTACTCACTTAATTAAATGCAAATTTCCGACGTTCTTCACATCCCTGCAAAATACATCCTTAAAGCTTTATATTTACCGAATGCGATCTCGCGATGAATGGAGAGATAAAACTAGCTGATTTATTTATCATTCAGGAACACTTTTCCCAGTCCCGTCCTGGGAAATTAACTGGATTTTTTCCCCCTTTGTGCCGGCGCAGAAAGGAACCAGTGTTCGTTATTATGCGAGACTGAAAAGGTTAATTAGGGCTTCGCCGTTCATTTTTGATGAAAAGGCGCGCCATTTGACTTACTTTAGATGTACCTGTTCAGACAAGGCTGCGTTTACGACCGAAATCAGAAGTACAGTCATATATTTAAACCAGCAGTTTGGTCTTTAAAATACTGTTCAACATTGGCCAGCATGGCGTATTTCCTTGTGATGATACTGTAATCCGCTGCCACATGTCTTCCGCGGTAGTTGGTGGTGTAACGTAAACCTTGCTTTTTATAAATCACCATAAAAAGAAGTCTCAACTTGTCAATCTGGACACCTTGAAGGCCAACTCCCTGGTCCCCCGCGCCCAATCCATATGCAGGGAAAAGTTTCGGGTAAAAACTGACGAACCACAGCGGTACTGTGAGGTGGAGCACCATCATGTTGCATCCACATTCTTCGAAGTGTAGCTAAAGGAATGTTGCCTAACAAATCTTCTGGTCAAAAAAGAATGGTCCAATGACATGGGTTCTCAAAATTGCTCCCCACACGTTGAAAGACCATAGTTAGCTGTGAGTTGTCCGGAATTGGTGAGGATTCATCATAATAATGGCAGTTGTTATGACTATTAACTATTTTTATGAAAAGTAGCCTCATCGAAGAACATGACCCGTTTACAAAAATCATCATCTTGATTTAACATCTTAAGTGCTCACTAACAAACCTCCAGTCTCCGCTGAGAGTCTACTTTTAGTAACTCTTGGTCCACATGATTCCAGACAAGTTTTATTAAAACCATTTTTTTATAGTCCGATAACACAGGCCGACAAAATTAAAAAAAAAAAAAATTTCAGAGATCAGACACTACGCTTCCGAAGGCATTTGGCGCGCTGAATCCGAATCTGGCCTCAGAATTGATCCATCACCCTAGNTGAAAAGGTTAATTAGGGCTTCGCCGTTCATTTTTGATGAAAAGGCGCGCCATTTGACTTACTTTAGATGTACCTGTTCAGACAAGGCTGCGTTTACGACCGAAATCAGAAGTACAGTCATATATTTAAACCAGCAGTTTGGTTTTTAAAATACTGTTCAACATTGGCCAGCATGGCGTATTTCCTTGTGATGATACTGTAATCCGCTGCCACATGTCTTCCGCGGTAGTTGGTGGTGTAACGTAAACCTTGCTTTTTATAAATCACCATAAAAAGAAGTCTCAACTTGTCAATCTGGACACCTTGAAGGCCAACTCCCTGGTCCCCCGCGCCCACAATCCATCTGCAGGGAAAAGTTTCGGGTAAAAACTGACGAACCACAGCGGTACTGTGAGGTGGAGCACCACCATGTTGCATCCACATTCTTCGAAGTGTAGCCTAACAAATCTTCTGGTCAAAAAAGAATGGTCCAATGACGTGGGTTCCCAAAACTGCTCCCTACAGGTTGAAAGACCATAGTTAGCTATGAGTTGTCCGGAATTGGTGAGGATTCATTGTATCATAATAATGGCAGTTATGACTATTAGCCATTTTCATGAAAAGTAGCCTCATCAGAGAACATGACCCGTTTACAAAAATCATCATCTTGATTTAACAACTTAAGGGCCCACTGACAAAACTCCAGTCTCCGCTGAAAGTCTACTTTTAGTAACTCTTGGTCCACATGATTCCAGACAAGTTTTATTAAAACCATTTTTTTATAGTCCGATAATCAATCAACTTCTAATTTCTTAATATACAAGGTGGCCGAGAACGACAGATATAACTAAGATAGCCTGGATGAAAACAAACCAACTTAAATCAAGTTACTTTAGAATATTTTGCTTGAAGAGTACAGATTCAAAGAACAAGAAATATTCTAAAATACCAACGTTAAGGAAGCAAATTGTAACTGATATAGTTTATTATTATTCAAGAAGGTACCCTTAAAGTATGTCCCCTCCGTTTCCGGACACTCTTTATATTATGGAGTAGATGCTGGTGGGCTTTGGAAAAATTAGTTCATTTTTATACAAAATTAAAAGTTCAATGTGTGACAAAACATGACAAAAACCTAACCTCAAAAGAGTTATGTCGTAAAATGTCCCTGGATAAGGTCATAGCGGCCTTTAGAAAATAGTTAAAAATTAATAACGCTGACGCGCTCTCGATGACTTTTCTGTAGGTACCAAATTTCACATTATCTTTTTTTGGAAAAAATGTTTGAATTAAAAATATTTATTGGACATCTTATATCTCAAAAATAGAAGAGATATAAGTTCCTGAATTTATACTATCTTTTTTATAAAACACCCTGTCTACTATTTACAGTAAGTGTATTCCACAATAAGATATCTTCATCTCAAATTTATAGTGCCCCATTCTGTTTTCAAATATGTCTTTAGTGTGAAATAAATTTAATAATACATAGGTATCCAAAAATTTGAGAGTAGTTTGTCAAGGGTTTAAATAACAGAAAATATGTGCTTCAATTATTAGAGCAAATATATCTATGTAATGCATGTAGAATCACAACGACGCGTATAACAAACTGGATTATTGATACAATTTTTTGGACTTGCAATTAAAGTTCCAAGATAAATTAAAGAGAAAAATTATTGTCTAATTTCCAATTTAATAATAGTCTAAAGACACTATAATCTAACAAATACTATATAAATGTGGATGTATAATTAACTTCAACCTATTTGGACGTCATAAAATCTTTTCATAAGTTATTTTTGTTTCTGTAGTTGGTCCCCTTGTTATTTCTAGTCCGAACCATAACATGGTCCATCAGACTCACGCAGGACATTGATTTTGCAAAATTCTGAACTCTTCGCGCCATCTCTTGAAGAGTATCCTAAACTCACGGGTCTCACCAAGATTGCTGTTTGCTGAGCTCGCGCCATCTAACCCGCACATATTAAATATACCTTAAGGTCAGTCCCCTACAAATGTATTCTACCCGATTTCAAACCGACCTTGTCAACTGGCGCCTCGTGCCAGCCTCAATTTCCGCTGACAGCAAGAATAATTAGAACTGAATCACTTTCACGTAATACCTAACCTAACAAATCGCCGAAAATATAAATAGATAGTTAAATATACAGTCTAGCCTCACTGCCGATGAATTGGATACATTGAATTTGTTTCTAACAAAGCTTGATTTTATTCTAATGTTCGCCAGTTCAGTTACAGCTGGCTAGATTTCGCAGTAGGTGAAGCTTATCAGTAGGAAGCAGATAGCTCGACAGAAAAGGTAATGTAGATGTGGTTGGTGGCTATGGTTTGACTTATCTGGGAAATTTGCTGACTTAACTAACATCTATCAGTGGCTAACCTTATCTTATCTACTAGTATGTCTGAGGGTGTCAGTTGTCATAACTAACTTGGGTATCCTTGAGTTTTACAGGGTGGTACAACTGAATAAAAAGGTCGTACCTGTATGCATGGATTAGCAGATATTTGCTCCTTTATCGCGTGAAAAATTATTTGAGATACGTGTCTTTAAAATGTAGTACACAGGATGATTTGTAAAGTGTTACTCTATCTCAAAATATACAATTTTATTTCTAGTTGTATTACTTTGATTCAAATATTGCATAATTACAATGCTCAACATTTTCAGTTTGTCTGTTTTCAGCATTTGCATAGATGCTTTTTTTAAGTTTTAAAACAACAGGTTGGTAATCAAACCGTAATAATATCAAAAGTAGATCAAAGGATATCAGTTGTGGCTTACACATACTGATTATTTCGCAAAATATGTTTACCATATATGAAAATATAATAACTATTCGATCGATATACGTTGTGTACATAACACTACCTTGTTATAGGCTGTTTACAATTTAATATTATTTCTAGCTAACTCCTAACGCTTTACTAACGTTGTTTGCAGCTAACCAAGCTATGCTCAGTCAGTCTGAAGATTCCTCAAGTTCTATAAGGCAAGAAACAGATTCTATTTCTACGGAATTCAATTGTTTGGAAGGCGAAGACGACCCGTTTATAAACAGTCTATGGGGAATACACAAAACTTTAGATGCTCTGCGTGGTAAGGTTGATATGAAATGATAAATGTTAAAAAAAAATAATAACAATAAAGATTAATTCCACCATTTCCATGTTAAAACATTTCGATATTTTGTTCTGGTCTATTTAAGCTTGAATACGGTTATTACATTCTATAAATATCAAGATTATATATAAACAGTGTATACATACTGGTTGTTACAACAAATGCAGGTGAAATCTGATTCCGCAACAGTCAAACTCACTTTCAATCATCAACTGTCGATAAACTCAACAAAAACCTTGTCTCAGTAGATTATAATAAAATTAATTGTTGTTTGGGAATTTCTACGCAAGTGTTTCACTTTTATTTGTTCAAATATTTAAATGCTGCAATAAATAAGTGGATAGCAGGAAACTTACACGAATTGCAACAGCTTGAAACCTTGGCCGACAAGGATATCATGTAATTTAATAATATGCCCACAACGTAAAACGATTTAAGCCATGTATACACAATTACTTATTCCAATAAATTAATAAAGTTATTACGAGCATCAGCAGTTTTATGATATACAGCCATAGCTTGTCAAGGTTAATGTTATGTTTATGCAGTTAGTGCACTGCCTTATCGGGAAAAACTTCTGCAACTAAATCTGTTTCAAGTATTTTATGTATGAATCTTAACCTTTGTTTGTTGACGTCTTCTATTAAGGCCGGTTATACTTTTTATCTTCAAGGGTATACATATTCTTTCTGAATCCTAGGAAACATGAACAAACAACAACTGGACAGCGGAGATACCGTGGAAGAGTCGTCTGATGTCGAAGAGACAGTCCTCCCACCTACCTACATTGTCCTGCAGGTTTCTTCAGATATCCCAGAGAAAACTTTACTTTGGCTCATAGACAAGATTAGAGGCAAGAAACGTGATGGTGGTGGCGAACTCATCGTTATGAAGCAGCTTTGCAACCCAGAGGATGTAAGTATTGTAATACCTAATTATAGATTTTTTCTTATCCTCTGGATGGGCTGTTCTTTGTAGAAAATCCAAATGTCTGTCTGTTAGTCGACATTTCTTCGTATTTAAGAACTCCTGTTTCGGGTTGCAACCTCAGCAAATTGAATTATTTACCAATTTCATGTTCTAGCTAGTGGTACTTTTGCAATCGACAGTCTACTGTAGTTTCTCTGAGCCTGATCTTGTTCATCCTCAACATTTCATCTCTCAAATCTCTGATAAACAGTTTTTTTATACCAACAATGCCTATGTTCTGGCATCCAACACTGGCTGACCTTACCAGTTCAATTTGAACTGCCACTCTTTCCATCAATATGAAGTGACTGTTTAACAAGACTTCCAAGGGAGTCGACGTCATGACTCTTGTGATTCATTGCGATGGCCTATTTGACCTAGAACCACTGCACCACTGTAGTTTACTAACCGTTATAACAAATCTAGGGCTACGTTCTCCACCTGTCAGCTTCCAAGATCAAGTTCCTGGAAGTAGCCGAGGACATGGAGCTGATAAAGCAAGACCGCAACGGTCAGATGCGGGAGTTCACCGTGGCGCAACTGGAAGACTTCCTGCCGGAAGATATGCACGTGGAAGACCTCCTCACCATGGCGGAGAGGCAGAACATCGTGAGGCACGAATTGGAGAATATCAGGGCTCTTGCAGAGGACGACCATATACCCGGCTATCCCACCTACACTCTCTACGAAGGTCAGTCTATCTTCCAGGTGCTGCAGATGTACGAAATCGTCACCAAGATGTTCCCCTTGCACGACGACGAAACCTTGAAAAAGTTGGGGAGGAGCTGGTACATGTCGGTGTTCAAAAAGCAGCCGTTTGGTAAGGCTATATGTTTTTTATCAATGATATTTCTTATACCTAGATTATAAACTGTAAATATGTGGATTGGACACTCCACGTTTTTCCACTGCAATCAATCATAGGTTCATTGTGAACCTCCATAATATAAGAGTTCCTCATGTAATTTATAATTAGGCACTACAGCTTTGACAGTGACTCCTTCATACAGCTTCAAGCTTTCGGTTTTTGTCTTCCGGATAGTAGATAGGTCTTCACGTTTGCACAATACTTAAGCTATGGTGTCCTCCTTACAGAACCTACACAAGCTGTGTTCTTCCAGGCCAAATTTATTTACAATTAAATGTTTCCTGAATTCGGATACTTCTAGGCCTATCTGCTCTGGTTAACTCAGTATTCCTTACAATAATCTATGTCAGAAAGTTTCAGCATTTTGTAAGATGCATAAGTATTTCATCTAAACCATTTAAAACATTTTCTCTAGAGACCTAATCGGTTTCATTTCGGATACAAAAAATATTATCGACGACGTAACGTTGTGCTAAGTACAAATTCAATGCCTGCTCGGTTGAACTTGTTGGTAGACTGAGGGCCTAACAAGCAACAATTCATTTAACCATCAAAGGGAGAAATGACAAGTTGCTAGCACGCGCTACCGATGATTACAATCGACGTAACCGTCGTTATTGCGGCAATTAGAGGATCCCACATTCATCCAGGCGTATCCCGGACAGTCCCAAACCTTCTAGTCCTCCAGAAATGTAAATGATGGGATCCAACAGTGGAATGTCCGGGATGCAAAGAGAGGATCCTTTCGCTAATGATTTCAAACTATTCCACTTACGAATCGGCGAATTGTTTCGTAAATACAGCTCGTTTCGGTTCATGTTGCTTAAGTCCCCAGTAAATCTCAATATACTTATTGATACTTATTTAAGTTTCTATTATCAACTAAAAAAACACTCCTTTGCAACTTCTCCTTGAAGTACTCAACAGTATGTCATGAATTTAAAGAAATAGTGTTGTTAAATAAAAAAATTAAGTAAATATAGCGAAACACTGTTTTAAATTGTGCCTATACTGGTTGGTTATGAACAGGCTTAATCGGAAAATTATAACTGTTAATTGATTAGAGAAAATTAAATTTACAAAACCCCTAGAGGGATCCGTGCGAGTGAAACAATTTAATTGTCTCTATTGGGAATGAGCTTATCTCAATCAAATTGTTTGCGCATCACGTTTATTCGCAGCGGTACAAAATAATATGATACAATTTCCAATAACAAATAATCTGCTAATTGTCCGGTACAATAAATGGTATTCAATTATACAAAAACTCAATAGAAATAGATTTCTCCTCAAACTATTTTACTGTTTACAATAGGGGAAATAATAAATAGTCCAGACAATGGGTAGAAGACCTTACAAAAAATGTCACCTGGAAAAAGAAATGTGATATAGGAAAATTTTTTTAAGAAAGACAGTGGTCCTGTGGCGCATAAACGGCGAAGTTAACCTAAAAAATTCATAAAAGTGAAAAAAACGGTTTTTCGCTAATAAAAAAAAAACTTGGACTCCAATCGAAAAAAGTTAAATGAGAAAGTTGTAGCTAGCAAACAAACCTATCGATTCATGTTTTTAAATATATCGATTGCTATATTACTTTCCGAGATATATCGAAAAAACCGTAAAAAATCGACTTTTTTTGTTTTTGCTGTATTTCTTGCAAATTAAGGTTTTGAAACTCGTTACTTGCTGTAAATGTAGCCCTCGGCAAGCAAAAAAGTACCTTGTTTTAAAATTAAAAAATATTAAACATTTTTCGAGTTATATCGATTTTTCGAAAAAAAGGTCATCTCGAAAATCGGCTCTCCTTGCTTGACGAATAGTCGTAGAGAAACGAATCAGGGTTCATTTTTTTCCTTAAGAGTTGTACTTTCAAGGTAAAAAAGAGCGATAACGATTTTATTCATTTCATGTGTCCAAAGGTGGTTTAGAAAAAAGTAAAAATTTTTTGGTTGCGTTTTTCTTGAATATCTTTTTCGATTTTCATTTCTCGAT